ATTGTGTTCTCCTCCCTCTCATTGTGTTCTCCTCCCTCTCATTGTGTTCTCCTCCCTCTCATTGTGTTCTCCTCCCTCTCATTGTGTTCTCCTCCGGCTGTGTTTTTCTTCCTCTCATTGTGTTCTCCTCTCTCCCTCTGTGTTGTCCTCCCTCCCGTTGTGTTCTCCTCCTGTTGTTTCTCCTCCCTCTGTGTTCTCCTCCCTCTGTGTTCTCCTCCTGTTGTGTTCTCCTCCCGTTGTTTCTCCTCCTGCTGTGTTTTCCTCCCTCTCTCTGTGTTCCTCTCCCTCCCGTTGTGTTCTCCTCTCTCCCGTTGTGTTCTCCTCCTGTTGTGTTCCTCTCCCTCCCGTTGTGTTCTCCTCTCTCCCGTTGTGTTCTCCTCTCTCCCGTTGTGTTCTCCTCCTTCCCTCTGTGTTCCCCTCCCATTGTGTTCCTCTCTCTCCCGTTGTGTTCTCCTCTCTCCCGTTGTGTTTTCGTCCCTCCCGCTGTTTTTCTCCCGTTTTGTTCTCCTCCCCCCCGTTGTGTTTTCCTCCCATTGTGTTCTCCTCCCATTGTTTCTCCTCTCTCCCTCTGTGTTCTCCTCTCTCCCGTTGTGTTCTCCTCTCTCCCATTGTGTTTTTCTCCTGCTGTGTTCTCCTCCCATTGTATTCTCCTCTTGTTGTGTTCTCCTCCCTCCCGTTGTGTTTTTCTTCCTCCCTCTGTTTTCCTCTCTCTCTCCTGTTGTGTTCTCCCGTTGTTCTCCTCCTGTTGTTTCTCCTCCCGCTGTTTTTTTCTCCCTCCCTCTGTGTTTTCCTCCCGTTGTGTTCTCCTCCCTCCCGTTGTGTTTTCCTCCCATTGTGTTTTTCTCCCTCCCGTTGTGTTCTCCTCTCTCCCTCTGTGTTCTCCTCCCTCTCATTGTGTTCTCCTCCTGTTGTTTCTCCTCCCCCCCATTGTGTTCTCCTCCCTCTGTGTTCTCCTCCTGTTGTGTTTTTCTCCCGTTGTGTTCTCCTCCCTCTGTTTTCTCCCTCCCTCTGTGTTCTCCTCCCGTTGTTTCTCCTCCCTCCCGTTGTATTTTCCTCCCTCCCGTTGTGTTCTCCTCTGATTGTGTTCTCCTCCCGTTGTTTCTCCTCCTGCTGTGTTTTCCTCCCTCTCTCTGTGTTCTCCTCCCTCCCGTTGTGTTTTCCTCTCATTGTGTTCCCCTCCCGTTGTTTCCCCTCCCTCAGGCCCGCGTGGAGCGCATGGAGCAGTTCCAGAAGGAGAAGGAGGAGCTGGATAAAGGCTGCCGCGAGTGCAAACGGAAACTCGCCGAGTGCCAGAAGAAAATGAAGGAGCTGGAATTGGCCGAGCCGGAGAGCGGCAAAGGGGAGCTGGAGAAGCTCCAGGCCGAGGCTCAGCAGCTGAAAAACGAGGAGAAAAGTTGGGAGAACAAACTGGAGGAGCTGCGGAAGAAGGAGAAGAACATGCCCTGGAACGTGGACACGCTCAGCAAGGACGGCTTCAGCAAGGTGGGTGTGGGGCAAACCCCTCCTCTGTGCCCCCCTCACATTCCCTGAGGATCCCCCCAAAAAATATTCCACGTTTTCCTGCCCTTCCCCAGAGCGTTTTCAACGTGAAACCCGAGGAAAAGGAGGAGACGGAAGAGCAGAAGGAAAAGAAACACAAAACTTTTGTGGAGCGATACGAGAAGCAGATTAAACATTTTGGTGAGTGTTTGAGGGGGGTTTGGGGGCACCTTTTTAGGGTTTTCCAACTTTGGGAACCCCTCCTGGGTGTTGGGAGCAGCTGGGAATTCCCTCACTGTGCTGGAAAATCGAGGATTTTATGCGTTTTTCCCATTTTTTTCCTGTAGAAGCACAATTTAGAGGGATTTTTATTAAACCTTTATTAATCCCTTTTCTCCCCAGCATTTTCCCAGTGGGATTTGGAGCACAATCCTCAATGAAGGAATGAAAATCCTCCCTTTTTTTTTTCAGGAATGCTGAGGCGTTGGGATGACAGCCAGAAATACCTCTCAGATAACCCTCACCTGGTGTGTGAGGAGACAGCCAACTACCTGGTCATCTGGTGCATCGACCTGGAGGTGGAGGAGGTGAAAATTGGGGAGAAATCGGGGGAAATTTCATTCTCCAGGCTGGAATTGCTTTGTCCTCACCTTTTCCTGTTAAAAAGGGAGGGAATTGGGGAATTAGAGGGTTGATAAAATAGGAAAAGATCTTTAAAATCATCCCATAATGGCACCCACACATTCCTTGAGGAGAGGGGTTCACCCCCAGACCCCCCATTCCTGCAGCTCCAGGGTTTTCCTGGGATGAGGAGCCACAAAATTKGGAAATTTGGGAATAATTTGGGTTCAGAAAGATCTTTAAGACAATCCASTCCTGCTGARTYTCACCCCATTGGCCCCAACGCATCAATCCGGGGATTCCTTCCTCCAAATCATCATTTTCACGCTGAAAAGGGGTTTGAGCTGAGCAGGGAAATTGGGGAATTTTGGGATTTTCACCCCGTTTTCCCCACAGAAACACGCGCTGATGGAGCAGGTGGCTCACCAGACCATCGTCATGCAGTTCATCCTGGAGCTGGCCAAGAGCCTCAAGGTGGATCCCAGGGCCTGCTTCCGGCAGTTTTTCACCAAAATCAAGGTAAAAATCCCACCTGGACACCCCAAAATCCCTCCCAAGGCCGAGCAGAGCCCGATTTCCACAGATTCAACCTCAAAATTTTTATTGGAGTTTGTCCAGGAGGTTGTGGCAGAGGGGAGGGGAAGGGTTGGGGTGGGATTGGGGTTTGGGGTTGCAATTGGGGCTTCAGGGAGTGGAAATGGGGGTGCAGGACCCCCCTGGAGGCACAACTCAGCCCCAATTCCCCCTTTTTTACCCCCAAATCCTCCCCTTCTCTCCAGGACGGGAGGAGACAGAGCTGGGTGATCCCAGGGGTGGATTTGGGAT